GCCACCCTTGCACCGCAATTTGTCGCAGATTTTCTACAGGCTACAGCACACCACGGTGGTGGTCACTAGATTTTGCTTCCCATCGTGTACCTGGTCCCTGATTTCTCTTGTCCAAAAAAAAAAAACTCAAATTTTTTTCTCTTTTTTTTTTTTGTGGGGTGTGGGGGAGAGGAAGAGCAGAGGAGTGGGGAAGGGATGTAGGCAGCAATATACTAAACTGATGCTAATAAATGGTTGAAGAATTAGACAGTAGAAGGCAATTAGGTAGAAAAAAGTGTGAGGACTTTATGCAGAAAGATAGCAACCGGGCAGCATGCAGTACTAACTACAAGTATGGAAGGAAGGAGGGTGGAAATGAAATGAAAGGGGCATTGAATTTTAATGCGAGTTGTGCGGAAGGGTGACGCTCTGTCCTCCCCTCCATCAACATCCATACTCGGTTGCTGCCTTTGAATTGATAAGCCCACCTCACCTTCCAAAATATATTATATTTGTTGGATCCTTAATCCAACATTGGACTTATATGTGAATAATTATATATTGCAAACTGTCAATTAATGTTAAACCCAATTAAAGTGATCAAATATAGTTTGGGCTTAATTATCTAATAGGATGTGGGTCTTTAATTAATGTGTAGAGATTTAAGGACTCCTATTTCTATGATGGGTTGAAATAGGGCTCCAAAAGGTAACAAAATGTTACCTATAAATAGGGTTATGGTTCCCAGGTCACAGGTATCGTTTTAGTTGTCGTATTTCCTAATACCACAAAATAGCTTTTCCCTGATATCCCATCGTCAGGAAAGATACCAGAGAGAAACTAAAGGCCTCTCTCAAAGGATCGGTGAATACCTGTTGACCTGGAAGGCCACCCCAAATCTCTAGGGATTCAAGTATCAAGTTCATTAATATGGATTCAGGTACGCTTCCGCTATTTTATCGTTTATGTATTTCTTAATAATCGCCATACAGATCTTGGGTTTAACAGGTGATGGTTTTCACCAGTGATTAAATTTAGATAACCACCCTAACAAGTGGTATCAGAGCCTATATGGTTGATTATTAGGAAATAATTTATAGTCTTTGATAGTTTTATCTTAAAGATTGTAAATTATGAATGATGTCCTACTCCTGTTTCTGTTGTAAAGAATCGGTCAGAGAAAAAAAAAAAAAAAAAAAAGGGGTTTGCTTGTTCCAAAAGAATTGGCCAATTGTTGTGATTCTTAGGTTTATTTGTATCCAGTAGGTTTGTTTGATATAATGGCCAATTGACCTTTACATCTGGAGTATTTGACTTAGCATACTATGACTACTTGGCACATATTTCGGGATCTTAATTAATTGTGTAGTAGTTGCCCTTTTCTTATCTCAAATAGAAAGCCGAAACAGAAAGCAAAAACATGCAAGACCATGACTTTCTAGTGGGCCATTGTCTTGCTATGCTAAAAGCCGAAAGCTAGAATAGTTTCTTTTGCTGTGACTTTCCATTACGTCTTTGGTTATTTGCTGTGATGTTTAGTTGACCGATTCATTGTCTATGAATCCAGATTGATATTCAATATGATCCCTTGTAGCTCAATTATTTATAATTGGATTCTTTGGCTGGTTTCCTTACTCATCGATATTTATATTTATGTTAAGGAAATTAGGATTTATTTAATTTAAATGAACCCTAATAAAGTTAAATAAGACATTCAAGCCTATAAAGTCCATATGTTTGGCCCACTAAATATATAGTTTTATAAGACATTATGGACATTAAGAAAATTTTGGGCTTGAATAATAACTTGGGTCAAATTATGGGTATGGACTTTTGGTCCAATAAGTCTTGATTCAATTGATTAGATTTGACCACGTTTTGACCAGAGTTAACCAAAGTTGACTTTGATCAAAATTTTTATTTAATTTGGATAATTTTAAATTTGAATATTGGTATGTTTATATATATATATTTTGGAATAAATTAATTGAAATAATATTCCACCAAAGTGACCTCTATTATGGAAATTAATTTATTTTAAAATATAACTAGTTGGGTACTTGTTATTTTATGAATATTGATCGGCCCAAAGGAAGGTTCATATTTAATAAATTACATGTGCACTTGTGGTAATAAATACGTGATAATTATTTGGATTTTACATGTGATTTATAAATTGGCCCAAAGGAAAATTTATTTTTCGACATGTTATTATTATCAGTATTTATTACTGCACCAAGATATCACTTATAAATTAATATTTTTGTCCAAAAACAAAATATTAATGGAATATCGATATCTTGAGATGGGGTTACCTTTATTTAAATTTATTATTATTTTGATTTATGTGAGCATAGTTTTAATTATATTATGTTTTTTGTTCAGTTGCGAATGATCTTACAAATATTACTTCCAACATCAATAATATTCCTATGTTGAATGGCACAAACTTCAAGTCTTGGAAAGAAAATCTCTTGATAGTACTTGGAGTAATAGATCTTGACCTTGCGTTAAGGATTGATTCTTCTCCACCTCTTACAGATCAGAGTACCTCTGATGAAAAGAGAAATAATGAAAGGTGGGAGAGATCAAATCGCTTGTGTCTGATGATCATTAAAAAGGCCGTTCCAGAAGCATTCAGGGGAACAATGTCAGAAACGACTGTAACCGCTAAAGAGTTCCTTCAGAACATTGAAAAAAGGTTTGTCAAGAACGAAAAGGCTGAAGTTAGTATGCTCTTGACACATTTAGTTTCAATGAAATATAGTGATAAAGGTAATATCAGAGAATACATCATGGAAATGTCTCATCTTGTTTCGAAATTAAATGCACTTAAGTTGAAACTCTCTGAAGAGTTACTAATGCATTTGATTTTAATATCTCTTCCTACACAACCAGTTTAAGGCGAGTTATAACTGTCAAAAGGAGACTTGGTCTTTAAATGAACTCATCTCACACTGTGTAGAGGAAGAGGAAAGGTTGAAGTAAGAGCAGACAGAAAGTGTCCATATGGTGTCAACCACTAATAATAAAAGTAAGGGATTTAAGAGAAAGAGAGAAAAAGGAGCTGCAGGTACAGCGCCACAAAAGAAACAATAAAAGAAATCAAATGATCAGGGAAAGATAGTTGTTTCTTCTATGGAGATGAAGGGCATCAAAAGAAGCATTGCACCAACTATCACGCTTGGCGTGCTAAGAAAGGTATGTTTCTTAATTTGATTTGTTCTGAGGTTAATTTAACTTCGGTACCTAGACACACATGGTGGTTAGATTCTAGTGCAACAACTCACATCAGTGTGTCTATGCAGGGTTGCCTGAATTGCCGAAAGCCTAATGATAATGAAAGATATATCTACGTGGGCGATGGCAAAACAGTTCAAGTTGAGACAATTGGAGTTTTTAGATTATTGTTAAAAATCAAATTTTATTTGGATCTCTATGAGACATTTGTTGTACCGTCTTTTAGACGGAATTTAATTTCTATTTCTGCTTTGGACAAATTTAGTTATTTTTTGTTCATTTGGAAATGAAAAATTTGAATTGTTTCATGATTCAAAATTGGTTGGTTCTGGTTCTTTAATGCATTACGATAATCTATATTTAATTGATACGATTGTCTCATTTAATGAATCTCTGCATTTGAGTACTAGAGGAGTAAAGAGAAAATTAACCAATGAAAATTCAGTTGCATTATGGCATAAGAGATTGGGACATATCTCCAAACGGAGAATGGAAAGACTTGTGTCAAATGAAATTCTCGACCCCTTAAACTTCACAGATTTTGATGATTGCATTAACTGTATAAAGGGGAAACAAACCAATCAAAGGAGATTTGAAACCAATAGATCCTCAAACGTCTTAGAACTTATACATACATCTGCTTGGAATGGTCAACAATATTTTATAACGTTCATAGACGATTTTTCAAGATATGGCTACATATATCTCATTTCTGAAAAGTCACAGTCACTGGACGTGTTCAAAACTTCTAAGGTTGAAGTTGAGAATCAACTCAACAAAAGAATTAAAAGCATCAGATCTGACCGTGGTGGTGAGTACTATGGTAGATATGACGGTTCAGGTGAACAACGTGCAGGACCATTTGCTAAATATCTAGAGAAGTGCGGTATCGTCTCACAGTACACTATGCCGGGTTCACCCACTATGAATGGTGTAACTGAAAGACGAAATAGAACGCTTAAAGACATGGTAAGGAGTATGATATGTCATTCTACCTTACCAGAATCACTCTGGGGTGAAGCACTTAAGACTGCAGCATATATCCTTAATAGAGTTTCAACTAAAGCAACTATCAAAACCCCTTATGAGTTTTGGACAGGAAAAAAACCCAGTTTAAAGCATATGCATGTTTGGGGATGTCCAGTTGAGGCAAGGCCTTACAGGCCAAATGAAAAGAAACTGGACTCAAAAACAGTTAGTTGTTATTTTATTGGATACTCTGAAAGATCCAGACGTTACAAGTTTTATGATCCTACAACTAAATCAATTTTTGAGACAGGAAATGTCCGGTTCTTTGAGGATGTCGAGTTTGGGGGTGAAAATACAGCAGGGGACATTGTTTTTAAAGAGAAATATATTAATATTTTCACAGGTGTCATTGATCTTGTTCTGGATCCTATTCCTGAACAAGATCATGACATAACAAATCAAGACAATGTCGAAGAACAAACTGTTATAAAATAACAAACTCTTCCTCTCCAAGAATTAGTGCCATTAAGAAGATCCACTACATAAAGGAGAAGTGCAGTGCTAGATGACTACATTGTTTTTCTCCAAGAACATGAGGATGCCAGATGACTACGAAAGCTTATTGTAATTGACTTCTAACTTGAATAAGCCTGCACATCTTTCTCTCTCTCTTTCCTTCCCTCCATAGTCCATAATCATATAAACATTATTATTTTCTTCTTCCTTTTATAGGTCTTACGAGGGGCCTAAGTTCCTAACTACATAGTACTATTATTTTGCTTAGACGCATTCATTGCATGTACCACCCACCAAACAATATTAATTGATTAATTTGGACGCTTTTCAGTTTTCATATCATATCATACTATATAGTAGTAGAATCACACTAAGGTCACCCCATCAAATTCTCTACTCTTCTCCTCTCACATAATCGCACAGCTCCCAGTGTTCTCCTCACTGAAATAATCGCAGCGGCTATATGGGCACCCCTTCCCATACCCGTAACCATAGCTATCATAACAAGGCGGCGGGGGCATGGGCTGCCTGTACGCATAGTAGCATGGTCCCCCGTTGTACCCTTCCGAACATGGGACACAGTAGAACCCCACTGGAACTTCTTGGTGTAAGCACGGTTCAGGTGGAACCGGTGCTGCTGGTGCTGGTGGTAGTGGTGCAGGTGCCTTCGGCTTTTCAAGTACTATACCTTTGGGTTTTTCGGGTTGTTTTGGTTTGTCAACCACAGCCACTCGGGCCTGCTCAGGCTCTTTAGGCTTCTCTGGCTCCTTAGGTTTGTCGGGTTGCTTGGGCTTTTGTAGCTCCACGATCTCAATGCTCTTAATGACTTTCGCCACCCTTATAACATAATTTGTCGCGGATTTTCTTCGGGCTACAGCACACCACGGTGATGGTCACCAGATTATGCTTCTCATCATATACCTGGTCTTTGATTTCTCTTGTCCAAAAAAATTGAGCTTCACCCACAAAAAAAAAAAAAAAAAACTCAAATTCTTGTCCATACAAATTAAAGCCACTAACTGATCACTAGTAGTTTCATAAGCCACACTACCTAACTTTTGTTGTTCAACTTGCTTAATAATTATGGCTCAGTGGCCACCAAAAAAGTGGGCTTTTGTAGCTCCACGATCTCAATGCTCTTAATGACTTTCGCCACCCTTATAACATAATTTGTCGCGGATTTTCTTCGGGCTACAGCACACCACGGTGATGGTCACCAGATTATGCTTCTCATCATATACCTGGTCTTTGATTTCTCTTGTCCAAAAAAATTGAGCTTCACCCACAAAAAAAAAAAAAAAAAAACTCAAATTCTTGTCCATACAAATTAAAGCCACTAACTGATCACTAGTAGTTTCATAAGCCACACTACCTAACTTTTGTTGTTCAACTTGCTTAATAATTATGGCTCAGTGGCCACCAAAAAAGTCCCTCTTTAGACTGTAGGTCAAGGGTTCAAACTCTATCTGAAGTGAAAAAAATTCAAAGGTGGTGCCAGAACATCTCTTTGATGTAGTTTAGTTTGTATACTTGCTAATCCCTTACATACCCTCTTTAGGCTCCCCTTCTCTAGAATAGGATAGATTAGATTATACAAACATTATCGTTGCCGGCAAAAAGAAAAGTCGCTTAATAATTATGGAGAACGGGGGAAAGAATTTGTAGCTCATGGTGGTGCACATGCCCATGTTCATAGTCGGTGGAACGGTGGATGTCCTCCAACCAACTGTACTTGCTCCAAAGAAGTGAAAGAACTACTGCTAGTATACTGGTAATGAAAACATAAGAGACAGAATTGGTAATTATAAGCGACTCACGAGGAAATTTGCAGAGGATTTTCTTGACCTTCTTGCAGCAGCAGGGGCATTGAAGATCAACCTTGAGTCTCATTTCAGTGACCTGTATGGTTGCATATTATCGGAGCAAAATAATCAAACTCGATCCATATATGTATATATATGACAATCAAGAAATGTAAAATTAAGATGCACAATTATATGGTACTGCTAGTTTAGCTGAGAGATGTGGCTAGAGATCTTGACATAAAGAGAAGCATATCTCACGTTGTATGTACTGTCATAGACTTGCAATTAAAATTTTCTGATTGAACAAACACTAAAAAAGAACATTTGAGGGATGGTTTGGAAAGCTAGCAAGAGAATTGGCTTACCTTCTCAGCCATGGTTGATGAGGGAGGCAGTCAGTGGCGATGTAGGGGAGTGGGGAGAGGGGGGGTGGTGGAGGGAAGGAAGAGTAGGGGAGTGGGGAAGGGATGTAGGCGGCAATATACTAAACTCGATGCTTGATAAATGGCTGAATTAGATAGTAGGAGTCAATTGCAACCGGATAGCATGCAGTAATAGTACGGAAGCACACAGGATCCTCAGTGCCACTTCTATATTTATGCCAAGTGTCCTGTTTATTTAATTTGTCATGTGCTGTTTATTTAAATTTCTTCTACCATCATGTGATAAGTGGAATTGGCACTGGATTTGGTACCGAATAGTGGCACAGAGGATCCCAACTGGCACAGAAGGAGGGTGGAAATGAAATGAAAGGGGCGTTGAATTTCGATGCCATCATCAAGATTGTCTGCTTTATAGTAGTATAATATAAGGTAAGGTAAGATAAGGTAAGGTGGGTGTATTAATATATGGTGGCTTTGAGTCGTGCGGAGGAGTGACGCCCTATCCTATATAAAGTTATTAATATAAAAAATCACTACATTTTTAATGTATAAAATATTAATTCTTATTTTAAGTAGACAATGTATGAGTTAGCTAGCTGGCTCCAAAGGCTTTTTGCTTGTATTTTTCCTGATATGCTCCTAAAATTTCATTTACCTTTACCGGCAGCCAAAAGAAAAAAAAAAGGTAAATCGTGAAAAGTATGAAAGAAAGCCAAAAGCAAATGAGGAAGGCCGAGGAAAGACAGCTGCTCACAATCAAAACTATGACCAATAATGATAGCTGCTCACATAAAGCTCCATATTTTTTTGGTGAGTGGGGAGTACTTCTAGAGTTCTCCATGCTATATTAATTATGTTGGGATGGAAAGAGTATAGAATAGAGTGGAAAGATAAAAATGTATATATATATATATATATAGAAAGAAAAAGAATTCTTTTGGTTATTATGTACTAAAAGATTACAAATATTATGAGCAAAATTGAACAAATAGCTTTTCAAGACCATTTACCATAACCACTGTCATAAACCCCCTTTTTTTTGGAGGTTTGTTTTGTGTGTGTGTGTGGGGGACCATTTACCATAACCACTGTCATAAACCCCCTTTTTTTTGGAGGTTTGTTTTGTGTGTGTGTGTGGGGGGGGGAAGGGGAGCAAAAATTGAAAAGAATTGATAGAGCAGTGGTGAGAACCCTGCTAATTAATTAACTGCTTTTATCACCGATTAAAAAACAACACTAGGTAACACGGCCTTGTTAGCTACCATACTACTGTACAGAGCCATCAATCCCATAAATTAAAAGACTAGGCCAAAAATGTTGTTATGCACGCGGTGTAATCACGATGTGCACATATTAACTAATAGAGTAAATCTTATATACTTGTCATTCATCCAACGTTGATAGTGAATACACTGTCAGTGTAGGAAAGATTGATTCTAATATTAATGACAATTATTATGATACCTTGAGCTTATATACTTTTTCTATTTAACTCTATTTAAAAAAAAAAAAAAAGATTGTCACCTTCGATGTATTGTTCTCCTCGATGCATCTGGTCAACTTATCAAGTTCTTGAATTGGTGCAATTGAGAATCATTACGTTAAGAAGACAACCACAGAATCTCTCATCAGGCGTTATGCCTAAACCCAGCAGTCGATCAAGAGTCCTAATAACCCCATCATCTACATAGAATATATGCGGTTGGCCTTCCCATAACACTGCATCAGTGAAGTCAAGACATAGATATTAGGCTCAAAGCCTGCTTCAAACATCTCATTTAATGTGGATTCAGCCTCTTAGACTTTGCCGCTGCAGGAATATATATATATATATTGTGATCATGGAAGAATACGCCCAGCTCTCAGAACCTTTCATATAGCTTCAAAAATTTCAACAGCTTCATCAGTAAATCGCACATCAGCAGACATCGACAACAGAACACTCTGAACACCAAAGGCGCAGTTACACCTTGAAGGTAACATTATACAAAATCACTTCTTTCTTCAACTTAAGCCTTTCCAGAAAGTATCTGAACACCAAAGGCGCAGTTTCAGAGTTGGACATGTTATTGAGCACAACGGCAGCATCTTGTTCTACAACTTTGCCACCCAAATTACCCAAAATACTAATAACGTCAGCTTCTACAGGGTCACACGAGTCCAGTTGTTGGGAAGCTTGGACTAAAGAAGCACACCTGAAATCGTAGGAATTGCGCCTGAGCTTTGATGCCCTGGAGCTATTGGGGGTTGACCCAGATATAGCTTTTTGAGGAAGAAGAGATGGTTTTAGCATCTGGGCTGGGCGGTGAGGAATTTGGTAAATTGAGGGTTGTGGCGGGGATTGTTGTTGTTGTTGGGAAGCCGGTATAGAGAGGGAAGGTTTTGGATGGGGCTCGAGAGGAGGAAAAGTGAGGGCGTTATGATAACATATAATGTACTTAGAAAAAGTAGGCTCGTAGATTTAGTAGGAGGAACAAGACATCCCACTTAAAAAAAATGTACTTTTTAACCATATAGATAAAGAGGGAACCGCCCCCTGCCACGTTGGATGGTCGTCCGCCCATGTGCCTTGTAGGGATTGGCCGCTGGTTATGATGTCAGCTTCCCGTACCAGGTGGTCTTCTTCTTGTTTAAGGCATGTAGTTTTTGCATGGTTTTTATTTCTGCATGGTTTTTATATATATGATATTTTCCCCCAAAACAAAAGTACTGATGTCATTAGTCATTAGTCATAGTCATCATTAGTCATTAGCGGCAGAATAGCCTCTTGGTCAGAGGTGAAATTACGTTTTGCTCCTTGAGAGTTTGTTTTTTTGCCCTGTTTTTTTACTTCTGTATTTGTTGGTAATAATCTCTGGGGGTGTGCCCATCTGTGTCAAATGGCCTCTACCGCCAAATTTCCAATCTTCAACTTGCTTCGCCTTTTACCGCCGAGGCATTTAATCCCTGTACGGCCATGCTAGAAAGCCTCGTAACCGTTGGGTAATTCGGTCGGTTTGTGCTGGATATCTTTCTTTTTTGCTTCCATTTAGCTTGCTTTTGATTGCTCTGTCTTCTGTTCGCTGCTTTTTTCTATCGCTTGTTTGCTTTGCTTATGGTGAGTGTATTCTGTGTTCACCGTTGCTTCTGCTTTTTAAAACCATATAGATAAAGAGGGAACCGCCCCCTGCCACGTTGGATGGTCGTCCGCCCATGTGCCTTGTAGGGATTGGCCGCTGGTTATGATGTCAGCTTCCCGTACCAGGTGGTCTTCTTCTTGTTTAAGGCATGTAGTTTTTGCATGGTTTTTATTTCTGCATGGTTTTTATATATATGATATTTTCCCCCAAAACAAAAGTACTGATGTCATTAGTCATTAGTCATAGTCATCATTAGTCATTAGCGGCAGAATAGCCTCTTGGTCAGAGGTGAAATTACGTTTTGCTCCTTGAGAGTTTGTTTTTTTGCCCTGTTTTTTTACTTCTGTATTTGTTGGTAATAATCTCTGGGGGTGTGCCCATCTGTGTCAAATGGCCTCTACCGCCAAATTTCCAATCTTCAACTTGCTTCGCCTTTTACCGCCGAGGCATTTAATCCCTGTACGGCCATGCTAGGAAGTCTCGTAACCGTTGGGTAATTCGGTCGGTTTGTGCTGGATATCTTTCTTTTTTGCTTCCATTTAGCTTGCTTTTGATTGCTCTGTCTTCTGTTCGCTGCTTTTTTCTATCGCTTGTTTGCTGTGCTTATGGTGAGTGTATTCTGTGTTCACCGTTGCTTCTGCTTTTTAAAATTTTTTTCTGTACTCTTTCAGCTCTGTTTGTCTTACATTCTTTTTGTTTCCTGCCTGTTAGCTCTGGAGTTGGTTATTGTTGCATTGCCGCCTTCCATAAACGCAGCTGCAGGTTCTTAGTCCTTTTCCTTTTGCTTTTTTACGATGCACTAATGCTGTGTATGGTGATGTTCCTTTTGTTTCCAGAGATTTTCTGCTTTTTCTCTGTTTTTAAATTTCCTCTGCATGTTCCCGGTCTTTTCCCTTTGCTTGTAGCTGGCTACTGTTGCATTGTTGTCTTCCACAACCACAGCTCTAGCTCCTTACTTTTCCTTCCTCTGGTTATTTAAAATGCGGGTTTGTTCTGTTGCCTTCGTCGATGCTGTGCATGTTCGCGTTTGTTTTCGTTACAACCATTTTTTTACCTTTTTCCCTCGCCTTTTAGCTCTCTTCGTTTGTTTGTTAGTCGCTTTCATTCTCTCGACCTTGCCTTGTTCCCTGCTCAGTTTTCTTTCATCCTTCTCCTTTTTGCACTCTGTTTGTTCGCTGTAATGCTTGTTTGTGCCTTTTTTTGCCTATTTTCTTTGCTCTTATCTTCTTTCTCCGTGTTATTCATTGTTGCTTCTGCTGATGTGTGCGTGCTAAACCTTTCCTTGTTTTTTCTGGAAGCTGTGGCAGTGTGTTGCGCCAGTTCTGTTTCACCTGGTGACCTTTTGGCTTTGGAGCCGTCTGCTTCCAGTCAGTGCTTGTTTGAGCCAGTTGAGGTTTTTTAGCTATTTTCATCTCCTGTTCCTCCCTTTAAGCATATTCGTTCTTCCTTGTGCTCTTTCATTCTGCTCTGCATATTTTTATTATTGTCCTCCTGTGCTCGAATTTTTTGCTACAAAAAAAATGTTTGCCCTCTGCTTATGCCTCTGTTGTAGAAAATCTGTGTTTGTCGCTGTGTGATTGTATCTATTCCATTTCTTCTGTTGCTTGTTCTGCACTCTGGGTGTTGTTGTGTCATTTTTCCTTTGGTTGTTGGGCTTAGTTTATCTTCTTTAGCCTTCCAGTCTAAGACCATGGATAGGAATTCGAGGCGTCGTAAACGCTATGCCGAAATGCCAGAGCAAGAAAAGGCCAAGCTTTTGCGCCGTCGCCGTGATGCTAATGCTGCAAAGAAAAGGAGGCTTACTGTTCCTGGCAATAGCCGCGCAAATGGGTCGCCCCTTGGTCAGGGCGGGGGTCGCCAGCATAATTGTCAGGCCTCTCTTGTTCGCGTGTTTCATAGTGCTCCGCAGGGAGCCGATAGTAGAT